TAGGCAAACACATGGAAGCGTGTGGACAGTGGCACACTGGACCATTCTGCATGGTCCCCAGGGCCAGATCTTTGCCCAGGCAGCCAGGGCACTAACAGCATCTCTGGGCTCAGACCTGCACAGCCACCAGCATAAAAGCATCAGAAGAGCCCTGCTGGATCAGGCCACTGGTCCATGTAGTCCAGCCTCCTGCCTCACACAGTGGCCTCAACCAGTTCCTCTGGAGGGCCAACAACAGGGCAGAGAGGCCGAGGCCTTCCCCGCATAAGAACATGAGAAAGGCCCTGCTGGATCAGACCAGTGAGGGTCCCTCCAGTCCAGCATCCTGCCTCACACAGTGGCCTCAACCAGTTCCTCTGGAGGGCCAACAACAGGGCAGAGAGGCCGAGGCCTTCCCCTCACAAGAACATCAGAAGAGCCCTGCTGGGTCAGACCAGTGAGGGTCCATCTAGCCCAGCATCCCGCCTCACACTGTGGCCAACCAATTCTTCTTGAAGGCCAACAACAGGGCAATGAAGTCATAATGTTGCCTCCTGGCTCTGGCTTAGTGCCACTGCACATGGAGGTTCCTCTCACTCACCATGGCTAGTAGCCACTGAGAGACTCATCCTCCATGAATCTATCGAATCCCCCTTTAAAGCTGTTTATTCCTGTGGCCACCACTGCGTCCTCTGGCAGCAAATTCCACATTTTAATCACTCTCTGTGTAAAGTAGTCTTTCCTTTCCTCCGCCCTGAACCTACTGCCCATCAGCTTCATTGGATGCCCTCTTCTAGTATTTTGGGAGGGGGAGAAAAAGTTCACGTTGTCAAGTCTCTCCACCCCAAGCATAATTCTATAAACCTCCGTCACGTCCTCCCCCTAATCGTCTCTTCTAAACTGAGAAGTCCCAGCCTCTTCAGCCTGTCCTCATAGGGAAGGTGCTCCAACCCCCTCATCATCTTAGTTGCCCTCCTCTGTACTTTTCCCAGCCAAGTTCAAAGCAAATCCCCGAGATGCTGGCAGTGCCCTGACCAGGGGTCATTTCATAGAAAAAGAGGTGCAGGAGTTCATTAGCATAACATATTTGCATAGGCCACACCCCCTGACATCACCGGAAGCGTGTCAGAAGGCAACACCCACTGCTCAGGCTCCACTGGACTGTTTTGGATTGCTAGCTAGGGGGAGGGGGGAACGTGCAGATCTGTCCTCACAGAGGAGGGAGAGCTTGTGCCTGAATAAAACTTGGTCTTAAAGGTGCCACTGGACTGTTGGGGGCCGGGGGGCCAGGGGGGGAGCTCTGCAACTTACCTGGCTGCTTCTTGCTCTGACTGAGGGCTGCTGGGAGCAGGGGGCGGGGCTTGTTGCATGTTCCCGCCCCCTGGGCTCTTTACTGCCGGAGCTCCGCTCCTGCAGGAAATGACCCCTGGCCCTGACGCTTGGCTCGCTCCAAGCATATCTGGCCAAGTACAACCATCCCCCCCACCCCCATTTTGTTTGCCATGACACCAACATCACAGGTAGACGATGGAACCATTTTTTGGTGCTTGGGCCAAAAAACGGTTGCCTACTACTGACTTCAGTCCCCTCGCCCTGCATGCCTCTGAATGCGTGTCCCCCTGTGTGTCTGGGAACTGAATTCCGAGCACAGGAATTGCCACACATCTCTGACTGCCAGGACAGGGCACGGACCCAGACAGGAAGCAATGAAAACATTCTGTGTAGTTCGGCCCTGTGTAGATGGCCCGGGCTAGCCCCATCTCGTCAGAGTTTGGAAGCTAAGCAGGGTTGGCCCTGGTTAGTACGTGGATGCAGGGCTATTTTTGGGCAGGAACGCACAGGAACGGAGTTCTGGCTGGCTCCCAAGTTGGCCACGCCCAACAGGAACTCATTAGCATAATAAGCCACACCCAACAGCAGAAACTCATTAGGATTGGCTACAATTAGCGGGTGTGGCCTAACATGCAAAGGAGTTCCTGCTCCAAAAAAAAAAAAAAGGCCCCGGTTTTGACAACAAACAAGGTAAAGAGAATAAGAAGCAAAAGGTGGGTGTGGTTGGATGACCACACTTCTGGTAACATGGGGGTGTGGCCTAATATGCGAATGAGCTGTGCTGTCAGGGGGTGTGGCCTAATATGCTAATGAGTTCCTGCTGTTGGGTGTGGCCTATTATGCTAATGAGTTCCTGCTACAGAAAAACCCCTGCTTGGATGGGAGACCTCCAAGGAAACCCAGGATTGCTGCGCAGTGGCAGGCCATGGCAAACGGTCTCTGAAGTCTTTTGCCTTGAAAACCCCACTGGGGTCACCGTAAATCAGGTGCGACTTGGTGGCGATAATAAATCAATGGACTGAGCATACTCCAGGGGGCACCACAAGGGAGAGCAGCTGAGAGCCAGTGAAAAGGAAAAAAACAGAGGGGAAATGGGACATGGACGTGTTCGGACCTCACAGATTCCTGGAGGGGAAGATGGGGGGGGGGGCATCTGTGCGGGGAAAAATTCTAGACGGCTTCTGCCCCATCGCCAGCCTCACGACTCTTCATGAGCCCTCATCTCGTGAAAACTGACCAGATTGCATGAAAGTTTGCAGGCAGAATGCAGCCATCGATATAAGCACAGCACAGGGTGTGGCGGGGAGTCAAGTTGCAGCGCTGAACCAGCGAGGGAGAGCAGGGCCAGTCACCAAAACACGGGTGGCAGGCAAGGCAAACTAGGTGCGGGATTGGAAAAGAACGAACATTTCCAGAAGGAGGGCCTGGGTAAAAAGAGAGGGGGGTACCAGGTGCTGAAATACTGGTGCCAGATGGATGACGGAGTCAGGGTGGCCGTGGTGGGAAGTGCCGTCAAGTTGCAGCTGACTTATGTCGGCACCGTAGGTTGTTCAAGACAAGAGACGTGCGGAAGTGGTTTGCCACTGCCTGCCTCTGCGTGGCGACCTTGGACTTCCTTGGTGGTCTCCCATCCAAGAATTAACAGGGCTGACCCTCCTTAACTTCTGTCCATTATTACCAATATGCTTCTTTGACCGAAGGTGTTGAGCCATCCAATAAAATCACAGTTCAAATATCCTGCTTAGCTTCCGAGATCTGATTAGGTCGGGCTAGCCTGGGCCGAGGTGCCACCACTGCAAAGACCCCGTCCCTCACGGACACCCACCTCATGTTGGAAAGTGGTGGCAGATAGAGAAGGGCTTCCCAAAAGTGGTCCCGAGAGGCGGCACGCTCATACCGGAGCTGCTAGCCCTTTTACACTCCCTGGGAAACTCACAAGCAAAGAGGGAGATACCTCTAATTTGGGGCCATCTAGGTAAGAAGACTCTTGAGAGTCCCCTGGACTGCAAGGAGATCGAATCAGTCAATCCTAAAAAAAAAATCAACCCTGACTGTTCCCTGGAAGGCCAGAGACTGAAGCTGAAGCTCAGATACTTTGGCCAGTCAATGAGGAGGGAGCACTCGCTGGAGAAGACCCTGATGCTGGGAAAGATCGAAGGTCAAAGAAGACGGAGACGGCAAAGGATGAGATGTCATAGATGCAACGAACATGAAATTGAGCAAACTTCAGAGGATGGCAGAAGACAGGAAGGCCTGGCGTGATCTGGTCCATGGGGTCGCGAAGAGTCGGACTCAACCATGTGACTGAACAGCAACAGCAAGGTAAGAAAGCTGCTCTCGGCCACAAGAAGTTTCCCCTTGGCAGTTTCACTGTGTGGCACTCATGCTAGAAGCCAGAATGGAAATAACACTGGCAAAGACATTCCGGGCCAGGCTGGCAACCCCACTGTCCACCACCCCACACCTTCCAACATTTTATGGACCAAAAAAATGAAGAGAGACCCTTCGGTTTTTTCCTAAGCATTCCGACTCTTAACAGTAAGGATCGCTGCTTGAATCTCATCCCCCATCACACACACACACAGAGCTGAAGTCTTCTTCAACAGCTGTTCCATGTATTATTTAACTTAGCAATGCCCGTGGGAAAGCCCGCAGAGTTTTAGTTCTGTTGGTTAAAAATACGCCAGAAAAACAAAATCACCCTATGGATCAACAGTTCAAAACGAACCTCGCCGGCTGTAACATATGAAGTGGCGGGTTAAAATCTCCACACCCAGTGGGGCGGAAGAGTTGGATTTTGAGTGGGGAAACCCAGGTTCAAATCCCCACTCTGCTACCTGAAGTTCACGGGGAACCTTGGGCTAGTCAATCTCCTAGCCTAACCTACCTCACAGGGTCGGTGTGCCGTTAAAATGGGGAAGAGCGATCTATGCTACCCCGAGCTCCTTGGAGAAGGGGCAGGGTAGAAATGCGATTAAAGAGACGGTGCCTGTGTGTTCGTAATAATTAATTTAAATATCATCAGGTAGGGAACAACTTTTGGGGATCCCTCATGGGGCTTTCACGACAAGAGACGAGCAGAGGTGGTTTCGCCATTTCCTTCCTCCGTGCAGCCAACCTGGACTTCCATCGTCGTTTCCCCCAACCCGGCTTAGCGTCCAAGCTCTGATGAGAACCGACTAGTCTGGTATAATCTATGCGCATGCACACGAGAGACTAGACCAGGGGTCCCCAACCTGGTGCCCCTGGGCGCCGATGGAATTTTCAGAGGGCGTGTAGAGCACCACCCCAAAATGGCTGCCGCAGGAGCCAGAGCCAAGCATAAAAACGGAGTGACGGAGCCAAATATAATACTTCCCTCCCCGCTCAGCAGCTATGAGAAACCCTTTCGTTTCAATGAGGGGAGCCAGTAATAACCCCCGCCATACAATGGTTCCACCCACTTTCTGAAAAGCTTGGCGGGCACCAAGGGAAGTATTGACGGGTGCCATGGTGCCCACAGGCACCATACTGAGGGACTCTAGACGAGATAAACCCTTCCGATACGTCCAACTCCAAAGGTTTAATTTCTGGAGGAAAGAGCCTCTAGCAGCCCACTCCAGTGATAACAGGGACAGAAAATTAAGTAACGGGGTGATCTGAGCACACGAAACATGGGACCTGCATGCTCAATACGGAACAGACCTTACCTCTCCCTTGGCATTGGCGTCCTCCACAACCTGCAAGAAACGCTGGATCTGCTCGGGCGACGGCGGGCAGAAGTCTGTGATGCGGACGCGATGCACCTGGATGCCGGGGCAGGTGTCGTGGTAAGGCGGGCTGCGCTCCGTGAGCGATACCAGCTGCCTGATGCCGGCTTCGTACATGTACCGATAATGCGCCGGGAGCCGTGGCATGGCCAGCCCGGCCAGCTTGCCGGGGGCCACCCAGGAGAAGTTGGGTGGTACAGCAGAGGCCATGGCCCCTGAAGCGAGAGAGGAAGAGAAGCTGGGGAAAGTCTGGCCGGCAGCTACCAGTTTCGGTGTACTGAGAGGCTTCCCTAAAAGTGGGAGAAACGGGCGGTGCCACAACACTCGGCCCCCTGCTTAGGCCTTGGACCAATGGGAGCTGGCTAGGGTTGTCACACCGCTGCGGCTCTAAGGATTCTGGGAGCAGAGCTCTCACCACAGCCGATCCCCTCGATGTGGCTAAAGGGAGTGGCTGGGTTGAACAAAAGCTGCTAAAATCTGGATGCTGGATGTCAAAAACAAAGAACAAAGCAGACCACAGGCTGGGCGGAGGATCGGGAACCAGAGAGATCTCCTGCTGTTGTCTTTGCAGGAACTGGAGAGAACAGAAGGTTAAAGCAAACAGCACACCCATGTATGCAAAACAGAGTATCTCTTAAAAGCAGATATGGGGTGGGGGGGAGGAGGAGGAGGAGGAGAGCAGGGCTGCTGTAGCCTTCAGGGCCTACTCGGGTGAATCTGGCCAGCAACCGTGGGCAGTAGATGTCGGACTGGACAAACCTTTTGGCCTCAGCTGATCCAACCACTACACGACACTGTCTTCAAACATCAGTGACTGACTTTATATGTGCATGTAGGAGAATGAGGAAGCACAGTCCTGAGAGGGTATGGGAGACTTGGCCACTTCAGACAGCAGGATGGGAATCTTAGAGTCGTGGAGTTGAAAGGGACCTCCAGGGTCATCTAGTCCAACCCCCTGCACAAGGCAGGAAATTCACAACTACCTCCCCCCCCCCTCACATCCCAGTGACCCCTGCTCCATGCCCAGATGATGGCAAAAAATACCCCTCCAGGATCCCTGGCCAAACTGGCCTGGAGAAAAATGGCTTCCTGACCTCAACGTGGTGATCAGCATTTCCCTGGGTGTGTAAGAAAGGGC